TTACTATAAAGGCAATCGATCTCATGAACATTGCTTTACAGAATTTTCAGTCTGCTAGGTCTTCACTCGAAAGTTTATTATCGATCAAACCATCCGAAACCAGGATGGATTTTTGTCAGGAAGAATTTACCAAAGTATTATATTCTGAAATTCCTTTTAAAATTCAACCCCACTTTATTTACTTTTTTTTTTTTTTTTTTCTACAGGATTTACAAGCAATGCTTCGTGTATGCATTGCCAATATCATTAGTTTGCATAAGATAATTGACGAACTTAAACCAAACCAAGAGCCAAGTCCCGTCGAAGACGAAAAGATCAAGAAATCACGTAAGCAACAGAAAAAGAAACAGCGACAGAAGAATAAGCCGACGATGCCAGATGCAGTCGCGTCACACTCACAAGCCCAAGAAACGATGACGACGGAGTCCACAGAAAATAAGCCGGTGAATAAAATGGCAAATTTTGAATTTAAATATCATCCACGGTTTCCAGTAGTCTCTTTGAAATAATATAAAAATTATTAAATTTTGGATCTTGCACTATATAATATATATATCTCTATATATGTATAAAGTACATTGAATGAAAAATAAAATTATAGAAATATACATATAATCTAATAGTATTCTATATAGTAATCCCCATTTGCCCCGTTAAATAACATGAAATTAAGATTATGAATACTGCGCAAATCCACATCTTCAGCCGGTTGTGTTTTTTGCTGGAATGAGATAAATTGTTATGCAAAAATTGTCTATTATTGAATTTATTTTGATCATCTAGTTCACGCGGACTATCCTCAGTGAGGTCGTCGTCATCGTCCTCGAAATCATCTTCCTCATCATCGTCGTCCTCATCGTCTATACGGTTAAATTTTTTTGTGTATCCAAATCTCTCATAAAGTCCAATGGGCCATTTGCGTCTTGATATCTTCCAAGTACGAAAATTTTCCAAATCTATAAAATGTCTCTCGATAAGTTCTAAGGATTTTGTTCTTTCGTTGAGTAACTCGCCTCCAAAACCAAGACTAATCAATTTAGGCGAATACTTGATTAAATATCTAATGACTTCATCTGTGACAAAGCTTGATTCCAGCGTAAGCAAATTCCCTTGACATACTCTTATTAAGTTTGCAAGTTCTTGTGCATATTCCTTTGAAGGAGAGAAACATTCCAACTGACTTGTGTGTTTTAACCTTTCATCAAGATGAACAAGTGATCAATATAATAATTATTTATTTATTATACAATTGATGAGAAATACAAGATGGAACAAAAATTATTCCTACCATAATGGTCGCGATCTGTAACTTTCGGCAATCAAAGGCAATGCTCTGGCGGCAAAAAACAGACTGAGTCCTGATATATCGATCTTTTTCAGTTTAGGTGTGCCACTCAACATTCTCTTCCAGCTTGTGATTGTAAATAATTCAGTTAGAGGGACGTTACATTTTGATATAAACGCGAGGGAACTTAATTCGGAAAGTGTGCACAATCCGTTCAATGTTTCATCCGTGATCTCGATGTTGTCATCAATATAATTTCTCTCCAGAACTAATTCTTGTAAAAGGCTGCAAGTGTTTATCAACCGCAAAACCCATATGTCAGAAAGGCCTTCGAAAGATAAGTGTGCACGTGTTATCTGCGAACCATATTGTTCGGAGTAATGATTGAGTGACCAGACTGACTGAATGACTGCGTGAATATTTATATTTGAGTCCACACGATTGGTTATCCGGGAAGAATCGTCTGCTGATTCAATTTGTGTAGAAAAGTAGAACGGTTCTAAAAAAGTTATCAAAGGCGCCGAACAGGTCAACTTCAAAGATCTCGAACGCCTTCTGGAAAGTATGTGACTAAAGCTAGGCGGATTTAACTCCAATATTCCAGGTGTTTGCTCATATACTATAATATTGAAGTCCTCGAGGTGATTACACTGAGTATCCAAAATATTCAACAGTTCTGCAAGCCGGTTGATAAACTCTTGCGAAACTCGTCCCTGAATGGACAGACTCCTAAAGTATCGTCCATATTTTGACACGATGGTTTGTAAGAAAAATAGGGAAATATTGTAACCTACAACCGATCTGAACAGATATGGCGGAATTAGCGTGTGAAGTGAGCGGTGAGTAAGGGAAAGTTGTTTTAGATGAGA